GAGGAGGAAGGAAGAAAATTCCGCAAGTTTCTTGTTTATTCGATTTGCAAGTATTACAGGCGATTTACAAGTCCTCTCCTCCTCCCTCCTCTCCTCCTCTCCTCCTCTCCTCCTCCCTCATCATGATACAAATCCCGCTGCCATGGAATGAATTCTGCTGCTGCTCACTTGGCGGGTCCACACTTCTTGCCGGTGACCTTCCATCGACTGGATTCATCACAGTCAGCGAAGCGATGAAGAGGAGGAAGGAGGAGGGGAGCAAGTGAGGACGAAGAAAAGTTCCGAAGGGAAGGGCAAGGGGCAGGGGAAATGCGGAGAAGGGGAGAAAGTGAGGAAGGAAAAGGTAGAAGGGAAGGAAGAAGCGGGGAAGAAGCGAGGAGGAGGAGGAGGAGGAGGAGGAGGAGGAGGAGGAGGAGGAAGCGAGCAGAAACAAGAGGAAGAGCAGGGAGGGGAAGAGGAAGCGAGGAGGAGGAGAAGGAAGCGAGGAGGAGGGGGAGAAGGAGGTGGAGGGGGAGGAGGAGGATGATGAAGAGGAGGAGAAACTTACTTCATCAACTCTCTCTCCGAGATCGGGTCGACCTTGCACGCAGGGTCCGGGATCTTAGAGATCCTCCAAGTGTCCGGCTTCCATTCCTTGGGCACGGCGACCTTGGTCGGCTCCTCGATGTTGGCGGCGATTTCGTACGCGGAGGTCGGAACGTAGATGGATCCTCCCCCGAGGGCATCCGGTACAGGGATCTTGAAGCCGGGTTTGCCCTTGGGATCCAGTTCTTGCACAAGGAGAAACTTCTTCTCCTTATCTGCTCGTTGAAGTCACGACCAGCGCAGGGGAAAGAAGAGCGAAACTCACAGGTCTGGTCCCAGATCTCTTTCTTCTTCTTCTGGTACTCCTCAACCTCCTGCACGGCTGAGTCAGCAAGCCCCGAGATCGATGTGCCTGCCGCCCACCCTGTCGGCGCAGTGCCTCGGTCGCATTTTCATGTTGTTCTCGATCTTCTTGAGCTTGGTCTCAGAGGCGTTTGGCGGAACTTTGTTCAGCAGCTCCACCACCTGACGTCCGGCCCTTGAGATCCTCCACACCCCGCACGAGGTCTTACCTCCAGGTGCCCGTACGTTGCAGCATAGTGCATGGCAGTGCAGCCAAAGTTGTTGGTTTGATACGGGTCGACGCCACTGCAGCGCAACAAGAATTCCACAGACTTGGTGTGCCCGTTTCCTGTGCAAGTCGAAAGATCAGCCCACCTCGCCGCCAACATGAGAGAGCATTACGAGCGGCAAGCATGAGCGGAGTGAAGCCATCTTCGTTGGTGCCTGAACAACAGTCGTGAGCTGTGGGTGTGAGACAAGAGATACAGATGTGATCAAAGATGATGGATACAGGAAGTGATGCACGATGGAGGGGAGAACCCACCATTGATGTCCGCCCCTGCTTCAATCAATTTCTGGCCGACTGTTGGTGAGTCGGGATATTTCTTCTTGATATCTTCGTCTTCGTTAGCCAGCCTGAACGCTCAACTGAGTAAGGATCAACGTCATGTCTATCGAGGCCCACCGGATGAGCTCTCCTCGCTCGAGTACTTTCCCGTCTTCAGTTCTCTTAGAGGCATTACGAGGAATCGTCGATCCTAAAGCAAGGGTGTGAGACGAGGGGAGTTCTTGCTCGGCAAGTTCAGCGGGCCATACTCGACTCAAGGTCTTTGATCCTCTTGCGATAATCTTTAATTTCGTTCTCCATCTGAACTCTCTTCTGGTAGGTCTGAGCGTCGATTCTGATTTTGTTCAGGCGCTTGAGCTAAAACATCAATGGTCAAGCTATACAAAGTTATCAATTCCAACACAAACTCCTTACCAATCTCTCGTACTCTTTGTATTCAGGAGTTCCAGGCTTCGCATTCGGTTTTTTGGGCTTGTTCTGCCGTCAAATATCACCAGTATGATCATCAAGAACTTAACTTTGATTGCTGCTCGCAGCATCGACAACAGAACGTCTTTGCCGTGTTTCTTACCTCCCAAATGACTTCTGGCGCTTTCGCCTCCTGCAACCACATGAGCGACACAGAAGCGGATGAGTCGATGCTTCAACTGACCACAACAAGGGGCCTCTCTTCTCCAGGCTTCACGCTGTCATCCTTTGGGGGGGGCTCAGCCTTCAAGAACAGTCTCTTCAGAGCTTGCGGCATCTCGACTTTGAGCTTGGACAAAACGCCGGCTCCACCATTCCCTTTGTAGATGGGGAGGATTCTGAAACGTCCTTTGCCAAGGTCGACAAAACTTCCAGGAGGGTATTTCTTGTTGAACTCTTTCTTGAGGTCCTCGAGCCTCTTGTTCAGCCTGTAGGTGTCTGCAATCTCATATATCAACCAGGAGATATTCATCGATGCGATGGGAACATTCAACTGCACTCACCATCGTCGATCTGCTTCTTCTTCCCCGCATACTGCACGGGCAAGTGGCAGACGCCCATGAAAGCCGCTTCCCTCAACTGCTTGTTGAGCAGGTCCTTCTCTTTCCTCATCATCTGTGGAGTCATCTTGTTGGGGTCGACGCTCCTTCCTTTGTCATCCTGGTACTCTCGCACAGGCTCAAACTCCTCAAGAGGGTTGACGAAGGGCATGAACAGTGCTCCCGCTCCTCCTATGATCGCCTCTCCCACCGTATCCCTGGCCTCCGCGATGGCCCCCTGCGCCCATCGCGCCACAGAATCCACCATGACTATTCGCAGCAACAGGAACAAGGTAGGGTCCAAACAAGAGTATTCAGGGGGTGGGGGTCCAGTCAAGGGGACTACAGGGGGCGGTGGTGGGTGACTTCATAGGTAGGCAGGGTGGGGGTTAGTACATGTTGACATTGTTCTATGATATTTGGGGGTAAAAGCTGGGAAAAATAAGGGTAGGGGTACTCAATTGACCGGTAATATCTTGTTTTCTGGGTGTCGAGCAGACTCATGACTTCATTCGTAGGTAGTCAATGTGCGGTTACATCGTAACGGTCTCCTGCCATGATCCCCGGGCACTCAGCGGCCTGGGAGTCGCCCGGCCCGGCGCCGGGTCGTCGGGCCGCAGTGAACTTCGGAACTTGTGACGGACCCCGGCGTGGGCCGGCGGGCCATGTTGGCCGCCCGGCATGCCCGGCGCGGCTCGTAACTGTGACTCATTTACTATCCGAGTGGCCCGGCGTGTGGCCCGCCGGGCGGCCTGTCACCCGGGTGGTGCAACAGTGTCTGAGGGTCAAGTCTACTGATTCAACGGTGGCTCTATTACTTGCCATGCGTCCCAGTGGCTCATCAAGTTACTCATCCACTGGCGCGCATGATTTCACGTGCAGGTGTAATAAATGTGCTCTAGTAGGACAGCAGAGTTCAAGTGCATGTTCAAGGGTTGAGGATCAGGGGGAGACGATGTAGCGGTACTACCGTTGGGCGAGACGGTACAAGCGTACATGGCGTAGCAGAGGATAAGCTCCTCAAACCTGTCGATCATCGCCTGCCTCATCAGCTCGCCGCCCTTCACCTGGCTCACCGTTATCCAGGTACAGCTGATTGGGTTCAGTTTCAACGGTACTACGGTCTGCGAAGTACTGAGGAGTCGAGAGTTTCAGCTCGCGATCCTCCGAGTACATCGGCATGAAGTCAGGTACTCCATCGCGAGACAATGGATCATGAACACGTAATGCAACTCCTCCAGCATTGGCGACGTCCTCGTGCGCGCGTCCAGCCCCACCATGCGGTACAGGATCGCGCGCATCAGTGTCACTTGCCGTCGCATACGGCACACCAGTCCATCCGGACGCAGGCCATCACATGATTCCCAGGCCGTGGATGTCGTAGAGGGCCATGCCCTCGCAGAAGTTGTCGAAGCAGAAGGGGGAGACGTACCTGGCCCGGGATATCCCAACATCGAGTCTCCAACTTAGGTCGAGTCGTGTAGATGCGCTGGCACCTGCTCGCCACATGATGCGCCGGTACCCGATGCTGCCGAGCTGTTCGAGCATGAGGGAGAGGACGTGACGGAAGCCCTCGCTTGCCCCGGGGAAGAGCCGCTGAGCCGCTTGCCAAGTTCAAGTTGTCACGCGGCTTGATGAGCATGTTTCAAGTTTCTTGCAAACTCCAATGCGCGGGTGCCGGGTGTGAAACCGGTCGTCCCGCATGTACACGCGGTTCACGTTCAGGCATCGATGGACAAGATCTACCATGTAACGCTGCGACATGGACCGGAGCTCCTCGACATTCAAATCCGACCAGCTCCTGCCCGAGTCGGGGAAGCCTCTGGCAAGATCCTGCTCGACGCTCCTGCACTTCGCAAAGACCGAGTAGGCCGCCAGGAGGAGGTCGTAGCAGCTCGCCAGGGTGTCCAACTTGGTCCTTCCGCAGGGAGCGTATGGAGCGCTCCCTGCATATCGTCGCCATCACCGTACGAGTAGGCGTTGCAGATGTTCCGAAGTTCAAGAGCTGTGCAGCATGGCATGCCATTGTCCGTCGTGAAGAGGTACTCCATGCCAGGAGAGTTCCGCATTGAGCCCATCTGAGTCTGCATTCGAAACGCGGGCCCAAGTTTCAAGCTCGAAGTCCGCGAAGTTGCCGCCGGCTCAGCGACTCTAATAAGTTCAAGTTGAGTACGAGAATCAGTTGAAGTTTCAAGTTTCAAGTTTGCGGTCCGTCATCGGTAGGCGGATCATCACATGGCCGGGCATCAGTTGGCTCAGTACGTATCGGTAAGCCGGGAACTTGAGTTACTGACAGCCTCAGCCGTCGGATTACTCCGAGGCCCGGACAACTACCCCGGTACTCGGACTGAAAAGAGGTGGGGCCGGGCCTGTGGTTCACGCGCGGCTCAATTCCTTGGACTATATCATCATCGATTAGTACAAGACTTAATAAAAGTTGGAGCTTGAGGGGGGTAGCGAGGCGATCTTGGGGTTCCATGTGGTATTGGTGGTGCCCTACACGTAAAAGGGGTGGTGGTGGATGATGGTTAGGGTGGGGTTATCAGAATGATGCAGAGTACCTTCATTTATTCTGTGCAAGGCAGTGAATAGTAGGGGTGGGTCTAAAATTAAAGGGGTGGGTGAATCAAAGGGAGGGGGTGGTACCTCCGATCTTTCCCCAAAACTAAAAGCATCAAGGATCCTCCACCCCCTACCCCCTGGGTTCGTACTACACCCCCGACATACCCTACCCATTACGTGTTACACCCCTTCTTTCTATGATGATACCCGTTCAGATAACTGTAAAAATACCGGTGATTTCATAACCCTACCATGAAATCGATACCACAAAGCAAGGGGGGTGGGGGTAAGGAGGGGGCTTTATACCTTGGGGGTGGACTGGGGGTCGGCAGACACACGTGGCCATGGCACAGAAGTTGGCGTCTGCTTTCGCGCGATGCAAGGCGAGCAACAGGACGGCGTTTGTAGGGTGAGAGCAGCAGCTCATGTCACCCTCCTCCTCCTCCTGCCTTCTTCTGGCTCAGAGCTCTTTGCTTTCTGGCCGGATTGACTCGTCCTCATCGGTCCTTGCTATCCCTACACTCGTGGATCCCCTGCAAATGCTCTTGCGCTCCTGCTGCATATCACATCTGTCTCTGTTGCTGGAGGGATCAAGATCGTTATTCCATCCCGTCTTCCTTCTTGCCGCAGCCTCCCGGTCCTCTTCCTCTCCAGATCTCATGCAATCATATGCCATTTCCCTGTCACCTTCACGACATTCCTGCGATTTCACGGGGCTCGGCGACTATTGCATGTGCTGTGTGGGGGAGTGGAAGAGCGTTTCATGGAGTCTTTCTGCTGATGACGCTGACAGATATCTCACTGCCGGTTTCTTTGAGAAGGACGACACCATCCCTCTCATGCTTGCGCTGGAGGAGGGAGGCGCTGACGTGAGTCCCTTGTGACGGTTCTCGTGCGATCCAGACTTTGATATTCACCATGACGTTGTTTCAACGTGGTTTTCCTTTCATGTTCATCATGACGTTTTTCCTCTAATGGTCATCATGACACTCTTTCAACGTGTTTCCTTGTGGTTCTGAACTATGTTGCCATCGTGCGGGGAGCGTGCTTGTCAACATCGTGCACCTTGCCTCATCCATGTTGTTCTACTTGCCGTCTCTCTATTCACAGCTTGTTTCCTCTCTCCTCTCCCTCCTCCTCCTCCTTCCTCCCTCACGAGTTTCCTCAGGTCATCGAGTGCGGCGTCCCCTTTACTGACCCCATGGCGGACGGCACAACCATCCAGAAGGCCAATGAGGTGACGCTAACATCGCAGGAGAAGTCGGAGTCTGACGAACATTCGCAGGTTGCCATCGCTAATGGCGTGGTGGGGACCAAGGGATGTATCGACATGGTAAAGTTTGAGGAGGAGAGAGGAGGGGAGGAGGGGAGGAGGGAGGATAGGAGTGATGAGGAACGCAAGGTCAAGGAAGCGCGCAAGAAAGGTCTCAAGGTTCCTGTCGTGCTCATGGGATACTACAATCCTTTCTTCATGTAAGTCCTGGTGAGTGCAAGGGAAAGAGCCCCTGATGCAGCTTCAAGGTATCCTGGAGGTATGGAACAACTCGGGAAAGATTGTCAGGAAGCGGAAGTGAATGGATTCATCATGGTCGATCTTCCAGTGGAAGAAGCAGGAGAGGTGATCAAAACTTGTCTCCTCAAAGTTATGTGCTTCTTCTTCTTCTTCTTCTTCTTCTTCTTCTCCCGTCCGTCCTTTCCATCCTCCCGTTCCCCCCTTCCCCCCTCCTTGCCTTTCTCCTCCTCTTTGACCTTTCACCTACCTTGAGACGGTTCTGGATCAGGTGTTGACCATGTGCCGGAAGTACGACCTCAGCTTCGTCCCCCTCCTCGGTGGGTCTTGACAATCTCAGGGATCAGCTTGCATGACACTGTCTGCAGCTCCGACAAGCACTGATGAGAGGATCGAGAAGTTGGCAAAGACTGCATCCTCGTGGATTTATGCTGTGAGCCCGAGGAAGGAGCAGAGGGGAGAGGAGAGGGTTAGACGATGGAGATAAGGTCGAGGAAGAGAGGAAATGCAATAGGGGGAGGGAGGGAGGGAGGGAGGGAGGGAGGGAGGGAGGAGCGATCTTCAGATGATGTGAGTGGTTCAGGAGATGACTCTGCTGCTTGTGACAGGTTTCCGTCACTGGCGTCACTGGCGCTCGTTCCGATTTGTCAGCTGGTATGGATGAGCGTTTCCTCTCCTCTCCTCTCGTCGTCGGCTCCTCTTTTCATCAAGCTTACGTCCCTTGCTCCGTTCCTCCTCACTCTCCATCCTCTCACACCTTGGCCAGATCTCCCCTCCTTTCTCGCCAGGATCAGGAAGCACACGGACGTTCCTGTTGCCGTTGGCTTCGGAGTCTCCAAGAGAGAGCATGTTCTGCAGCTTGGCAAGCTTGGTCAGAGAAGAGAAGGCGGAGGAGGCGAGCGAGAGGACTGAAAGCGTTGCAGGTGCTGACGGAGCTGTCGTTGGCTCTGCGATCATCAATGCCATCCAGAACGCCAAGAACAGTGAGGATCGTGTGGTGCAGGTACAGGAGGAGCAGGAGGAGAAGCGGCTGAGGGATTGAGGAGCGAGAGGAGGGAGAAGGGGATGCAAAAGGAGAGGGCGTGTGGTTGAACTTTTCTGTCAGATCAAGAAGTTGGTCTCGGAGCTCACGGAAGGTCCTTGCGACCCGGCAGTGCAGGATGGTGGAGCGAAGCCACGAGTCGTTTCTGAGCCCGAGAAGAACCCTGCGGTATTCCCCCTCCCCTTCTTCCTCTTTTTCCCTCGCCCCATCACTCTCTCCCCCTTCTCCGCTTGCTGACGTGCCTCCCTGATCTTCCTGCTCATGCTTACAACTGTCTCTCTTTCCTTGTGCTCTTTCTGTCCTCCCCTGACCTCGTTCACAGTACGCCTTTGGAGAGTTCGGAGGAAGGTACATCCCCGAGACGCTTGTAGAGGTGCAACAGCAACACCTCAGCTTCTCCCTCCTCCCTCCTCCACCTTCTCTCCCTTTGCTCTTCCTCTCTCTCTGTACCGCTCCCCTCCCTCCTCGTCTTTCATCCCTATCCCTGATCCCCCCCCCCTCCCTTCCTCCTCAACAGCTCCTCCTCCTCTCACCGACTCCTGGGCAGGCGCATGAAGATCTCGAGAAGCGCTACAACGAGGCCATCAATGACCCAGAGTTCCTCAAGGAGGTCGACAGATATCGCAGAGAGTACATCGGAGGACCCACCCCCCTCTACTTCGCCAAGAACCTCACTGAGAAGGTCCTGCTTCTGCTCATTCTTCTTCCGCCGCTTCTGCTCCTCCTCCTCTACTGCCGCCGCCGCCGAAACCACCACCTGCTCCTCCTGCCGCTCCTCCTCCTCCTTGTCCCGCAGCTCCTCCTCCTTCACCACCACCGCCACCACCTGCTCCTCCTGCCGCTCCTCCTATGTTCTCACACCCTGCACGAGCTCGTCCTCCTTCTCCATGTCTTATCTGTTTGCAGATGGGAGGAGCTCAGATTTGGCTCAAGCGCGAGTGCCTCGCTCACACTGGAGCCCACAAGATCAACAACGCTTTGGGACAGGTGAATCCCCCTTCCCCTCCCTCTTCCCTTGTTGCTGCTCCTGCTCCTCCTCTTTTCCGTTCTACTTTCCTTCTTTCTTCTCTTCCGCCTCTTCCCCCCCTCTGATTCTTGTTCAGGCTCTCCTCGCCAAGCGTCTGGGCAAGGAAAGGATCATCTGTGAGACCGGAGCAGGACAGCATGGCGTTGCCACCGCGACTGCCTGCGCGCTTCTTGGCATGAAGTGTGTGGTGTACATGGGAGCAGAGGACTGCAGGAGGCAGTCGCTCAACGTCTTCCGCATCAAGATGCTCGGAGCTGAAGTTGTTCCTGTCAAGACCGGCTCTGAGACCCTCAAGGTCCTATCTCGCTCCCCTCCTTGCTCGCTCCCCTCCTTCCTCGCTCCCCTCCTTCCTCTTCGCTTCTCTCTTCCTACTTTTGCCCTCCCCACTTGCCGCTTCCCTCCCTCAATCATGAGCATCTTCCCTCCTCCCGTGATCCTCACCGTCCTCATCCTCCCGCCTCCTCTCCTCTCCTCCCTTCCCTACTCACCTTTCTCCAGGATGCCATCAACGAGGCCATGCGCGACTGGGTCACCAACGTGAGGGACACTCACTACATCATCGGCTCAGCCATCGGCCCCCATCCCTTCCCCACCATCGTCCGCGACTTCCAGTCCGTCATCGGTAAGGAGGCGCGAGCTCAGATGCTCGAGAAGGTTGGGCGACTTCCCGACGCCATCGTCGCCTGTGTGGGAGGAGGTTCCAACGCCATCGGCCTCTTCCATCCCTTCGTGAATGACAAGTCCGTCAAGATCTACGGGGTGAGGACCCTTGTGTCCTCCTCACAGCGCTCCATTCTCCCTGCTCTCCCCTCCCTCCTCCTTGCCTTCTCCCTCGGCCTTGTTCTCCCTCCCTTTCTCCCACTCCTGCCTCCTCTCTGTTGACTTGCCCCCCCCCCGCCCCCCCCTCGCCTCTCTCTCCGCCTACGTTTCCTTCCTCTCTGTTACTGTTCTCGGGATTGAAGAGAGCCGTCAGGTGGAGGCAGGAGGAGAGAAAGGTCTTGAAGGCAAGCACTCAGCCACTCTCTCTGCTGGCCGTCCGGGAGTTCTCCACGGCACTCGCACCTACTTGCTCCAGGATGACGAAGGGCAGATCCAAGAAACCCACAGGTACCACAACCACAACCACCACCACCTCCACCTCCACCTCCACCACCAGCTCCTCATCCTCCTCATCCTCCTCCTCCTCGTGCACCACCACCATCACCACCACCATCACCGTGCTCTGACGTCACTCTCTGACGTCACTGGCAGTATCTCGGCAGGCCTTGACTATCCTGGTGTCGGTCCTGAGCACGCCTTCCTCAAGGACAGCGGACGCGCTGAGTATGGCGTCGTCACCGACTCGCAAGCGCTCGAAGCTATGCAGACCCTGTACTTTCCTGCCCCTCCTCGATTTCTTCCTCCCTCGCTCTCCTTCTCCCGCTCTCCTCTTCACTCTCCCTCCCCCCTCTTACTCTCGTTCCTCCTCCCTCCTCCCCTCCCTCCTCTTACTCTTCCGTCTTAGCTATCCCGTGCGTTCATTTCCTCCCCCTTGGCTTGTTCCTCGTCCCTCCCCTGAAACGTCTGGCAGGTCCAAGTGTGAGGGGATCATCCCGGCCCTCGAGCCTTCACACGCCATCTACTACGGCATGCAGCTCGCCAAGAAGATGAAGAGCGACGAGATCGTCCTCATCAACTGCTGCGGCCGTGGCGACAAGGACATGATCACGGTGAGGGTGGGGAGAAGGAGATGTGGAACGAGTGCAGAGATCGGAAAGAGAGTGTCCGAACATGCTCTTGCTCTCAGATACAGTTGCTTGTGCTCCTTGACATTACTCGTGGAGTCTTTTGACTGTCATCTTTATATGTTCTGGTTGTTACTGTGTCGTCTCCTCATCTCTTGTCCAGGTTGCAAAGGCGCTCGGCCATGAGGTCGACATGAGCAGTGAGGGGCAGGAGATGGGCCGTGAGAACAAGAAGCAGAAGATCTGAGGTGCTTGTCTTGCTCCGGGTCAATAAATCCTACTGTCACGTCCTAGCAAACTGGCCAGGAGGACAACTCGCTGTCCTTGCACGTTCTCTTCTCACCTTGAACTATGATAATGTCCTAGTGCTCCCACGTACACGTCCGCGCAATAGCTGATCCTCTTAATCCTTCCGATCCCCTCTCCTCTCCCCTCGATCCCCTCCCCTTCTGCAGATCCCCTCTCCTTGTGCAGATCCTCTCTCCATTCATGACCATTCGCCAAATTCAGGATAATTTTTCGATTTCTTCAAATCACTTCTACTAATTTTGAATATTTAACCATCCACATTAGGGTACGCACCCGTAGCACCAACCTGAGGCAAGCTCAGAGCAAGCAAGGCTTGCGACCCTACTGATGACCCCACCCACTCAAGTATTGAAAAAGGACCGGTGGTGAGATAGGAGCATGAGTTCCCAAGGAAAGATAGAGTGTACTGAGAACCCCGTAACCAAGTAAAATCTCCAGATCTCAATCTCGAGATCGCAACGTCTCGCATTCCACGTATGTTTCTGACTGTCAGCAAGGAATCGCATTCAACTCCTTGAACAAGGGGAAGGGTGGGGTTCGAGGCGTATCCATCTTATGACGGGTCCTTCTCTGTGTTTTAGTATTCTATTTTCTCCTAGGGGGTGGGGTCATATTTGTGTTGCCGAAACGACGCAAGGAGATCCCTTGGGTGTCGCAATCTCCGTATCACTCAGACTACCCACCCCTAAATAGACCTCACATCTTGGGGGTATTTCGCGCAAAGGCAAGGATTAACTCAGATTCGACTACCCCTACCCTAACGATGTTACCCTCTTCGGCACGTGGACGGATGTACCGGACATCCCTTCAAAACCATAGGAGATTCATTGAAAATCTCTACTGCTCACCCCTATGCCAATTTTGACCCTCACCACCACCCACCCCTCTCGGATGCACCCTCTCGGTACGGTGCCCGAAACGTTGTGAATTTGGATATATCCACTCACGTCCCTCCGGCTCCTCCCCCCTATAAAATAACGACGACCCTCCTCTCTCCGCCGTCCCTCCCGCCTTCACTTCGTCCTCCAATTCTTCACCTCGCCGGTTCGAACAACGATCAACCATGAGGAGAACCCTTGAGCACTCCCATGCCGAGCAAATTCCACCACCCATCTTTCAGCAGCTTGCTTCCCGCCCAGATGACATGATGGATTCGAACTACGACCAAGAAGAAACGGAAATGGAGCTATCCTATGTTCCTGACCAGTATCTTTCACCACGAAGGGATGGCAATATCGAAGGAAGGACACTTAGAAAGGGAGTGCACGACGGATTTCCAGACAGAAGCAAACAGTTAGCAGCCTTGCAAGCTTCGATCAGAATGATCGAAGAGAAGAGAACGATCTTGAGTGCATTGGGAGAGGAGCTTGAGCTCTAAAGCCATCTAAGGCTTGAGTGAGCTATGTAAAATATGAATATTGATTGTAAAGAAGTAAAGGACGATACCAATGAGCCAAGAATTGGAAGGCACTGGTACCGGTAGGCAGTGGGGCAGTAGGAGAAGAGAAAGTCACCGGCGGTATGTCGGGTCATACAACCGTGACTCTTGATGAGGCCCATGACTCTGATCGCACCATCTGGAGGGCAGAAAATTTCACTAGAACCTAAAGGTCGTATCGAAAATTTCACAGACACAAAACTTCCAAGCTTTTTGAGAGTGAACAAATGTACAACAGTAAATGTGCAATGCCCCGAGCATCGGTATCTGAGCAGACTAGTCCCGTCAATAATTCTACGCTTTAGCATCTATTCATCCTCAGGTCTCTATGGTGAGGTGGTAAAAACAAACACGCATCAGCGACATTCCAATGAAGCCTGCATCAGGTTCGACAAACAGTCACGTGAGCTTTTTGATAAGAAGTTCCAGTACGAGACCCATCGTAACATTCAAAGCAGATACGTCGCTCCTTAGCCCGGATACGTCGCTCCTCAGCTCATCGAGCCTCCTGGCCACATCCTCCTTCAGATCTTGTATGACACCAGAAATATTCCTGTACGGAGTGTAAATCAAAACAAACGGTATGCTTCCAGTATCCACAAACGACGTCAATGCATTATGATCAGAGATCAGAGATCAGAGATCAGAGAGAAGAATCTGCTTAAACATCCACTGACAACCTCAAACTCCTGTCTGTTAACAAACCCATCGCCGCAATCTTGCTGTCTTCGCCCATCATCTCACTCTTCAATATATTGTACAGCCGATTGACCTGGAACAGCTTTTCAAAGATTTTGCCAGGCGTCTCCGTGATTTCAAAGCAGATGTACTCGACTCCATGCTTTCCATATATCCTTATATCCTGAGCGGGGTTGACGACCACGTCCTTGAAGATGGTTTGAAGATCAGTGTCCTTTTCAAAGGTCAAGCACAAGTCCGCTTGATATTCCGATATTGTTGCGGGGTCAATACGTTTACCTTCCATCCCACTGATCCTCAAAGGATCATTCTGTCTTGTGGTGCACTCTGTGTACTACACTTCGCACGCGGCGAACACCACTTGGTTTAATCTTTCAGCGAATTCTTTTGTGAGAATGCCACTCTCTACGAGCTTGCTTCTCGTCTCCTCGTCCACTGGGAGTTTCTCCCGTCGATGAAAGCCTACACTTGCACATCTGCTGAAGATCGAGCTTTCGAAAGAGCTCATGCTCGGGTGGTTGGCGGGAGAATTGATGTATTGGCAGTCAGCCTTGCCCTGCTGCATGATTCTTGGCAGCATTTGCGGCGAGGTCTGCCTGTGATAACACCTCTGCTGCAAGCTCTGCCTGTGGTAGTATGTAGAAGACCTCTGCTGCAAGCTCTGCCTGTGGTAGTATGTAGAAGACCTCTGCTGCAAGCTCTGCCTGTGGTAGTATGTAGAAGACCTCTGCTGCAAGCTCTGCCTGTGGTGGTATGTCGAGAAAGATTGGAAGTAGCTGTCCACATGCTCTGGCAAGAACACGAGCACGAGTGCCAGCACGACTGCTTGTGCTGCAAGCATGGCACCATAACGCACACCATAACGCACAGGACCCCTACCCCCAAAAGATCCGGAGTAGTGTGCCACGTGGGCACCTCCCTCCACCATTTCCCACCCCTTACATCACCAAATGTCCCACCCCTACCCCACCTTCTTATTGCTCCACCCACCCAGTCGGGCTCGACTCATGATCTCGTGGGGTACTTGGGACTGGAAGGATGATGGGGTGGGATATTTTTTCAGTCATTGTGGGGGTAGGGGTACCAGTTTGCTACACCTGCTCCTCAATGTTTTGAAGTGATGTTCGAACCACCCCTTTATATACCACCCCACCTACAAAGTACCCCACCTACAAATAGTACCCCACCATTGATGTTACTACCCACGGTATATAATCATCTCCCCGTGGGAGCAAGGGTCCTGAGTTTGAGGATCATGCTGGGCAGGGAGGGCGGGGCGGGGGGGAGGGTGACGATGGCGGAGGAGGCGGCGGTTTGATGAAGGAAGAAGAAAACGTGTATGTTGAGGAGCAGAAGATAAAGGAGAGAAAGCACACAGATTGTTGTTGATGCTTTAGAATTTGTGCACGCACGACTTCTTCTGCTCGTGAATTCGCGCGCCAGTGGCCCGAGCGCCGAGTTTGAAACTAGCTCAGAAAGTGAGACTATGCAAAGTGATGCTCCAAGAATACTTGAGACTAGGAACCAATAGTTCAAACCATCACGAGCTCAAACTGACTCTGCAACCCTACTTTGGTCACCTTGGCTCCTCTATTTGTACTGACCGCTTGCTTTCCAGATGCGTTCCCTCTGAACTTGCTAGTAGACAGTGACTGAACTCGGTGCCATGATGATTCCTACAACTGTTTTGATCCTCAGTTCCTTCCTCTGCCTCACCTCTGCCTTCTACCTGCCTGGAGTTGCCCCGAGGAAGTACAGGCATGGCGAGAAACTGACCGTGAAAGTCAATACGTTAACGTCGGATTTGACCCCTCTTCAGGTCCTCTCCCTCACAACCCCTCCCCCTTGTTTGTCTTCTCTCCCTCACGATCCCCCCTGCCCCCCCCCCCCCCCTCCCCAAACTATTCATCTTCTGACCCTCAGATCCTAGTTCGATTACTACAACCTTCCTTTCTGTGAGCCCAAGGGCGGAGAAAAAGAGCTCGCAGAGAATCTCGGTGAAGTGCTGGCGGGGGAGAGGACGGAGACCAGTGCTTACAAGCTGCACACCAACGTCTCCCGACTATGTGAGGGCCGGCAGGACTCTTCACGCCATGATCCTGACCCATGGAACCTCTACAGGCAAGGTTGCTTGCAAGAAGAAATGGAAGCCCAGGGCGGTCCAAGATTTCCGCAACTTCGCCAGCACCAACTTCCGTAAGCTCCTGTGATGGCTGGGGCACTTGTCTGACGAGGAGATGATGATGATCAGGTGCGAACATGCGACTGGACAATCTTCCTGGAGCAGAGCTCGTTGTCTTCCGCGATCAGCGAGGACAGGAGTTCGTCTCGTGAGTGGAGGAGCAAGACGACTTTCTTGCTTGCCTGACCTTGTTGCTTGTTCCGCTACTTGCAGTTATCGTCTTGGATACCCTTTGGCAGAATCTTACGGAAAGAATGGATCGCAGTTCTATGTCAACAACCATCTCCGCATCACCATCAAGTGAGCATCCTCCTGCATTGCTCAACTTCCATCGTCTCGCGCCATCATCTGCTAATGGTCTTGGTTCGCCCAGGTATCACGATGTGCAGACTGCAGGCACTCGCCTGGAGAAGATCGAGGAGCCCGGAGTTCTCATCGTCGGGTTCGAGCTCAAGGCTATGAGTGTGGAACATCAGTATGTTGGTACGAGCGACAGCCTCCGTTCTCACCCTTCCTCCTCACCCTTCCTCTAGGTGACTGGGACGATTCCTGTGTTGCAAAGAATACCTGCCCTCTCCTGACCTGCTCTCCTACTCGCGGTCCACTTCCAACAGCTCCCAGGATGAAGCTGCCTCCTCCCCGCAAGCCCATGGACATCATTTTCACCTACGATGTGTTGTGGGTGTACAGTGACGTCAAGTGGGCGTCCAGATGGGATGTGTACCTCAAGATGCAGACGCAGGACGACGAGATTCACTGGTTCTCTATCGTCAACTCCTCAGTCATCCTCTTCTTCCTCTCCGGAATGGTCGCCATGATCATGCTCCGCATCCTCCGCAAGGACCTCTACAGGTACAACCAGCTGGAGCAGAGCGAGGAGGCGAGAGAGGAGGCAAGGGAGGAAACAGGATGGAAGCTGATCAGTGGAGACGTGTTCCGACCTCCCAAGTTCGCAGCTCTCCTCGCCGTCTTCATCGGTAGCGGAGTTCAAGTCCTCGGCATGTCGACTTTCACCATCATCTTTGCTGTGCTGGGCTTCCTGTCTCCTTCCAATCGAGGATCCATCTTGCTATCGATGCTCCTCCTCTTCGTTCTTATGGGTCTCCCTGCTGGATATGTGAGTTGCCTCCTCTTCCTCTTCTCCTCCCTCCCCTCCTCAACATCACTGCCGTCTCCTGCTTCCCTCGCCTCCTTTCCTCCCTCCTCGCTCTCCGTCTCATTGTCTCCTGCACAGGTCTCGGCTGTCTTCTGCAAGATGTTCCGAGGCGCTGGAACCGACAGGCTGCGCAACACTCTGCTCACTGCCGTCCTCTTCCCCGGCGCCGTCTTCTTGGTTTTCTTCCTCCTCAACATGGTGCTGTGGGCCGTCAAGTCGACAGGAGCCATCCCCTTTGGAACTCTGGTGCGCAACTCAGCAACTTCCTTCGCTTCAACTTCCCCATGCACAGGCTCCCTCAACCGCCTTCCCTCCCTGTCCCTCTTCCGCCAAACTCTCTTCGCTGCGCTGCTCCCCCTTCCCCTTCATCCTTCTGCTGCTGCTGCTCATCTCTTCTCCCTGGCTCTTGTTAGGATAGAGTTCCTCACGGCTTGTCTCAGGTTGCGCTCCTCTGCTTCTGGTTCGGCTTTTCTCTTCCCCTCGTCTTCCTCGGGAGCTACTTGGGCTTTCGCAGACCAGCATGGGAGCCGCCCGTGCGCACCAACCCGATCCCTCGCCAGGTCGCGCTCCTCCTCCTCTCTTGATCTCTTCCTCCTGGTCTATTCCATCCTGTCCGTATCTCCAACGTCCCTCCCGTTCCAGTTTCCTCCCTCTTCCCCTCTGCCGTATTTGATCGTCCGCTGCTTCCTCTCTCCTTGGCGTTCTATCTTGTTGCTTCTTATGTGCAATCAGATCCCAGATCAGCTCTGGTACATGAAGTCACTTCCAAGCATTCTCATGGGAGGAGTTCTGCCCTTCGGAGTCGTCTTTGTCGAGCTTTTCTTTATCCTGTGTGTATCCCTAAGATCTTCTCTCCTCCTCCTCCTCCTCCTCCTGCTGCCTCTCCTCTCCTCTCCCCTTCGTCTTCCTCTCCCCGCTGATGGCGCCGCAGATCGTCGATCTGGCAGCATCGCTTCTACTACCTTTTCGGCTTCATGGCGCTGGTCCTCCTCATTCTTGTTGTCACCTGCGCCGAGATTACCATCGTCATGTGCTACTTCCAGCTCTGCTCGGAGGACTACCACTGGTAAAGTCTGTGTGGAAGTAGGACAGGGGAAGGAGGAAGGAGGTAGGACGCAGCAGTTTGAAGGCAGGAAGAGTAGAGACGAGAAAGAGGAAGAGGAAGGGAAAGAGGAAGAGGAAGGGAAAGAGGAAGCAGAAGAGGAAGAAGAGGGAGCTGCTAATCTGTGAGCAGGTGGTGGCGATCATATCTTACATCAGGAGCAAGCGCTATCTACCTCTTCCTCTACGCTGGTTACTACCTGATTACTCGCATTCATCTTGCCAAGGTTGTGAAGGAGGACGAGGGAGGGATGAGGGAAGGGTTGGGATGGGAGGAACTGCAGTAAAGGGGGAGAGGGCGAAGTTGGGGCCAAAGCATCTTATCTCATACTCAGGCGACGGTTGCTTCAGCCTCAATCTTCTTCGGCTACATTGTCATCCTCTCCTATGGCTTCTTCGTCCTCACTGGTGATGATAAGGAAGAGATGGTAGTGCAGGAGCAGGAGCAGGAGCAGGAGTATGGAAAGGAGGAGGAGAGGAGAAGGAGGAGGAGGAGGAGGAGGAGAAGCGGAAGGAAAAGGGGGAGGGGGAGGGGAGGTTTCGGAAGGATGATGACTGTCTGGCAGGCTTTGCAGGATTCATCAGCTGCTTCTTGTTCATTCGGATCATTTATTCCTCAATCAAATGCGATTAATCGCCTCCTCCGAATCTTAAAATATTTACATGACCTATCTCCCGCTGCATCTACCACACTACTTCCTCCTCCTCCTCCTCCTTCACCTTGCTCCTCCTTCTCGCGTTCTATGTCATCACCGGCGTGTTTCTCCTCTCCCATGTTCGATCAAGCTGTCAGCTGCTCTCCTTCAGCATCCCCTCCTCACAAGTTCAAGGATTTCTCTGATTTCTTCCTCAGCGCCATTGCCTTCCTTGAGCTCAAAACCTGCAGCCACGATTACTCCTCCTCCTCATCATCCTCCCCCTCCTCTTCCTCTTCCTCGTCCTCCATCTTCACTGTTCCCTCCTCCCCTCCTTCTTCACTGTTCCCTCCTCTCCTTCCTACTCTTACCTCCGCCAGCACCTTCTCCTTGTACTGTGTGTACTTGTTGTCCTTGACAAACCCTTTGGGGAGCGAGCGAACCCAACCAGCGAGCGAGTCGCGGAGGATCTGAAGAGAAGATGAGGAGAGGAGAGGAGGAGGGGAGGAGAGGAGGAGGGGAGGAGAGGTCGGGGAGCAGGAGCGGGAGAGAAAAGGGAAGGAAAGAACGAAGGAGCTTCGAGAGACGTCACAAGAAGAGGAGGAGGAAGGGATGGGGCGGTAGGCAGGAAAGGGAGGGAGGGAGGAAAGTGCAGGGAGGGAGGGAGGGAGGGGGAGGACCTGAAGAGATCTGCCTTGCAAGTGGAAGAGAGAGCTGCGTTTGAGGAGGAGGAGCTGAGAAGGTTCTGTGGTGACAATCTGAAGAAATGACGTAAGCGAAGAGAAAGAAGAGGAAAAAGAGGAGAGAGGGAGGGAGGGGAGAGATGAGGGGAGGGAGAGGAGGGAGAGAGAGGTGACGGAGAAAGGGAGCGAGAGAGGAGAGGGAGCGAGAGAGAGGAGGGAGAGGAGGGGAGAGATGGAGGGAGAGGAGGGGCGAGAGAGGAGAGAGGAGAGAGGAGCAAGAGGAGGAAGGATGTAGAGGAGGGTATGCGAGCTGACCGTGTAGAAATAAGGAACGTGACCATCTTTCAGGACTGTTTCTCCTCCGAACCAATCCCCCAGATCAAGCTGACCAACCTGAAAACCTGCCAGTCACCGACTAGAGATTCCACTTCCTCTACCTTTCTCCTCCTCCTCCTCCTCCTCCTCCTCCTCCTCCTCCTCCTCCTTACCAAGAAGTTCTCGGTTGTTTCGCTTCCTCTGCTCAAGAATTTGTTCTTCCCGTTCGACTGCTGCTGCTCCATCGTATCTTCATCCACTTTCCTGACCTGATCCTCCTCGTCAGCCCCCCACTGCCTCCTTCACCAACCTTCCTCCTCCTTCTGCTCTCTCCTCGTCCTCCTTCTGCTGCTGCTGCTCTTCCTCTCTCTTCCCTCCTCCTCCTCCTCCTCCTCCTCCTCCTCCTCTTTCCCCTCTTCCTCTTCCTCCTACCGCTGCGTGTATCTCGCGCAGAAGCCCGTAGTACTTGCCGGAAGACGAAAGATCAGGAGTGCGAAAAACTTCACACCTTCAATGAAGTCAGTGAGAGAGGAGAGGAGAAAGAGGAGAAGAGGGGAGGAAGGGAGGGAAGGGGAGGGGAGAAGGAGAGGAGAGGAGAGGAGAGGATGATTAACTACTTACTTCCCCCGCCGGATAAAAAAGAGAGCTTCTGAATTATCTCCCTGCCTACACACCTGAAGACACTTTTAGAACAGATGAGAAGGAGGGGAGGAGGAAGATTACAATGAGGACGAGGATCAGCATGGAGGAGGAAAATTGGACAAGCAAGATAGCAGGGAGGAGGGAGGAGGGAGGAGGGAGGAGGGAGGAGGGAGGCGGGAGGCGGGAGGAGGGAGGAGAAGGAGGGGGGTTCACCACGTGTTTTCCCGCTACAGAGAGAAACTCCATATTGTTGAGCACGAGATCCTCCAATACTCCTGCCTTCCCCCTGCAGCAAGAATCATCATCCTGCTCCCATCCCCCGTTCTTCTGAGATCTCGCTACTGCCATCAACCCCAGTCGACACCCTATCCTCCTCTTCCTCTTTCTTCTTCATCTGCACCTCCTCCAATTCTTCTTCCTCCTCCTCCTCCTCCTCCTCCTCCTGCTTCTGCTCCTGCTCTTCGAATTCTTTTTCTCTTACCACGCGCTGTTGCGAGGGAAGAGGTCTAGCCTGGGGCTGCAGAATGTTGAGAAGAGGAAGAAAGAAGACGGCGAGAGAGCAGCAGGGGAGGAGAGGAGGAGGAGAAGAGACATGGAAAGGAGAGAGAGGGAGAGGAGGAAAAGGAGGGAGAGTAGAGAAGGGAGAGGGAGGAGGGAGGGAAGGAGGAGGAGGAGGCGAACCTTGAGAAGAATGCTCTCAGAAACTGCGCGTCCTGCTCAGCTCGCTCGATCTGCGAGGCTCTGGTTGAAAAAGACAGTGAGATAGGAGAAGGAGGAGGAGGAGGAGGAGGAGGAGGGACCGCAAGAGAGGGTTTGGAGGAGGAAAAGGCAACAAGGAGGAGAGGATAAGAGAGCCGAGAATTGGGAAAGGAAAGGGACGGGAAGGAGAAGAATGAGGGTGGGTGAATTGAAGAAGGCTAGAAGGAGGGAGAGAGGGAAGGAGGAAAAAGAGGAAAGGGAGGGACGGGAGGAGGGAGGGACGAGAGGAGGGAGAGGAGGACAGGAGGGAGGACAGGAGGGAGGGGGAGGGAGGGGGAGGAGAGGAGAGGAGGAGGACCGGAAGGCCTTGAGGTAGTTCTCCCTCGAGATCGACAGGAGGAGAGCTCCATGGGGCCCAGCCTTGGCGAAGTTTGCTCGCGACTTGCCCTGCATCACCTCGTCGATCCCGATAGTCATCCCTTCCTGTGCTGGGATCAGGAGGAGAAGGAGGAGAAGGAGGAGAAGGAGGAGGAGAAGGAGGAGAAGGAGGAGAAGGAGGAGGAGATGGTGGTGGTGAAGAAGAGGTACAGCAGTAGCAGCAGGAAACAATGGTGATGGTTGTGGGAGGAGGAGGAGGGAGGAGGGAGGGGT